TCGTGCTTCACTTTGCGAAATCAACGTCAGGCCATACCTCGCTTCAATGAGCTATTGCACGCTTAATATGTTAAACTGATACGCGAAGTGTCAGGAGAACTCGTGACAGGGTTACCCAACCTTTGGCCCGGAAAATGCAAGCAAGTAGTGCCGATTTAATTTTCATTTTATATCTTATAGTTTAGATTGTCGGGTACTTACTTATTCACGCGAAACGGTTGTCAGTTAAAATTCATGCCAGTTTTATTGTTGGCTAATTGTATAGTTACAGTTGTATTGTATGCTAATATAAGATATAAACTGTTCTGACACTAGGAAACGTATAATTTTGTGCCTTTTTTACACTGTTGCAAGATCCCAATGATAATAAATATTGAGAATGCTGGGAGCCATTAACATAACTATTACTAAATAATCATTTCACCTTTGCTTAAAATTAGAAACAACAATTTTATTTCTCTTCATCGTTCAAAAAGTTATTAAAATATGAAACTTTTGTTGTACAATTTTACAGACATGGTCGATTAGTGAGTATAAGGGCGAGGGTTTCACGAAGTTGAGTTTAAAGCAAGTTATTACACAGCTACGAGTATAAAGTGGATGTTTCCTGGTCATAACAGAAGCGGGTGATTTCATAATGATTTCCCTTTTCGCAACTTGGATTTGTGGTATTCCGAGATAAGGGTAATTTACAATTGATTAGAAGTAAGATTTGTAATACTGTTACTACTATGGTTAGTTATTTATGAAAAATATGTAAATATTTTTTAACCCCCGACGCAAAAACGACGGGGGTTAAAAAAGACGATAAGTTTGACATGTGTCTGTGTGTGGAATCATAGCTCCCGAACGGATGAACCAATTTTGATTTTCTTTTTTTTGTTTGAAATATGAATGAATTAGTTGGGAGTGTTATTTTATGTTTGATGAAAATCGGCTCAAGATGGCCGCCGTCACAAAATGGCGGATTATATAATTATTTTTTCACAACTCCCTCAATATGGGTATCAAATGAAAAGGCTTGACTAGTAGAATACTATACACTATGATAAATTTCAAATCCAAGATGGCCGCTACCATACCATACCATGTTGAGGGTTTTTTTAATTTTTAATTTTAATTTAATTTAAATAACTGAATTATTAAAAAGAGTCACATAACTTATTTGAAAAAACTTAGAGAAAATATTTAATATACATTGTATTTAATAATATGTACATTGTAAATTTATATAAAAACTTACTGTAATCAAAGCATACAATAGAATATTGATTTTACAAAACTTTTTTGTAAAGCAAACCCTCTTTAATGAATACATTTTATAGCATCTTTGAAAAACGTCGAATTAAATTAACATAAGTAGGTAATATTGTTACGGTTCTACAACAAAATGAATTAGTGTTAATTGAGTTTATAATGAATTTAATTTACTATAAATTGAAAATCTATATATTCATACCAATACGATACGTAATAAAATGGTACTAAATAATTACAGGCATTTATGAGTCTACTGGATATTATTGGGGATACATAATCCCTTTACTTTGAGTATAAGATACAATTAGGAATTATTATATAATTGTTTTTATCGAGTAAATTAAAAGATACTAAAATCAGTTTGAGTATGAAAATATACGAGTTTTTAAATAATCTTCATTATATGTATATATACAGTATAGGTACGCTTTAACGGTTTGTATAGATATCCCACGGGAACCGTAAATTATTCCGGGATAAAAATTAACCTATGTACTATTCTAGACTATAAACTATCTCTATGTTAAATTTCATCCAGATCCGTTTAGCCATTCTGGCGTGATTGAGTAACAAATATCTATCCAACCAAACTTTTGCATTTATAATATTTATGGGATAATGGGATTCAGACGTACGTGTTTTCGAATTCTTACGCGCGACGTCGCGTTTGACTTAGTTTAATAGTGATTCTACTTGCTCTACCAGCGGTCGCGGGTTAGAGTCCCGCTGGGGGCCTTCATTTGTGTGATGAGCACGAATGTTTGTACTCCAGTCATGGGTGTCCATATATATATATATATATATATATATATATGTATGTATTTTATGTATGTATATAAAATATAATATATTATGACAGTGTAATGTATTAATTACTTGGTATCCATGACTGACAAGCCTCGTAGCTAACCATTGTACTAGATGGTGCTGTGTGTTAATACCCCAACATATTTATTTATTTATTCTTCTCCTCCTAAGCGACTTGACTGGTTTATTTACATGATTTTTTTTGCACTTATGAGATCATCTGGATGATTCTTAGTTATAGTTGAGCTCGGTAGATGACGCAGTTGTTGAAAAAAAACCTTTTTTTTTAAAAAAAGTCTAATAATACTAATATAATAAAGAGGCAGAGTTTATTTGTTCGTGTGTTTATTTGTGTGTTGAACGCATTAATTTCAGAAATTATTAACCCGATTTGAATAATTATTTTTGCATTAGATAGCCCGCTTATTGAGGAAAGCTATAGACTATATATCATACCCAAGGGAGCGGAGCGGAGATAAATGTCAACAAATCGGGCATACTTCCATACATTATTGTAATGTTTTTTTTTTTGTAGATTGAATGCGAGCAAAGCCAGGGTTCTATATAGATTTAATATTATATACAACTGAATTGATATTAGAATTGTACATTGAATATTGAATGAAAAACTTATGTCGACTTTATATTTGGAATGTAATAAAAATCAAGTTAACGTTTGGTGTGTGTCTTGTCTGTCAGTCTAGGATTTATATATATTGTATTTTTCGCAAATTATTCTCAATGTAGGTTATTTTCTATTGTTTAAATCGTTTGTTATTTGAATAGCGAAAGGCAAAATCGTATATTGTTTCACAATAAATTACAGACAAATATTTTTCTTATAAGTAGGTAATAATAAAACAAGTAATATTTATTTCAATTGATGGCGTTAATCCAAAGTTATAACTTGAGATCTGCGTTCTGTGGGATACCAGTCATGTTTAGTAGTCGCATACCTACTTGATGATGATGATGTTCTCCTGACCGATTCCGGCCACGGCGGCCAATCTCATTGAGACTAGCCAACTGCGCAGGAGATATTATAGTGCACAAGTGTACGCGCAGACACAGGTGCACTCTCTATTCCTGTCACTCTCATACTCTGGCGGAACGACCACTCGACACGACCAGTGAGAGTTAAGACGCAGGACCGACAGCTTTACGTACTCTCCGAAGCACGGGGGGGAAACACCGCCAACTTCCAAACTCCGGGCTGTTACTGAGGCTAATTATACAGAAAGACTCAATAACTAAACTTGGCCCGACCTTGGGACTCGAACCCAGGACCTCCGGGTATGCAGCCGTGCATGCTAGCCACTACACCACAGGGGCAGTTAATACAGGCATACCTACTTACTAGAATAATAAATGTACGTAAGTGTATGTAATATGAATAATAAAAATGTAAAACTACCATACTATAGAACACAACACTGCTTAGAACTTTATTCTTCATTGTTTTAACGAATAATATATTAATTTAACCAGCGATCACAATCTATAATAACTTTTACTTACTATACTTTCATTACTATAAAATAATAACCTTTCTCTTCAAATACGAGCATATTCCTGGTACTCATACCTACTTAATAAACCCAACAGTACATATAGTAAAACGGCGCAGAATCTTTGCGACACGATTATGGTCTAAACCTGACGTAAACTACCTCTTATTATTTATTATTATTATATATTAAAGAAAAATTATAAAAATCCGTAAAATTATCTTAGATAATAATGCGTGAATATTTTACTATTTTCAAGTTATTATTTATCGTATAAATAATATTAACTAAAATTGTGCAAAATTAATAATAACTCAAATAAAATAAAATTCAATATAAAATTATAGAATTTTCAAAAAGAACACGAATTGTGGACTTTATTCTCTGATTATATTATACTATTCCATATTATTTATACCGGCAACTTCATAAGGAAAACCCAATTATTTTTAATAATTAAATATCTTTTTATTTCTAAACAATTAAAGGAATAAAATATTTACGACATTAATTTATTTTCCAACAAAAGGTACAACAAGATTCATTCAGTTTTATATTATTAATAGTATAAGAGTATATATTAATTGGATATTCATTTTATTCCAGAACGGATATACATATATTTAAAATAATTATTATTTGTACACCATCAAGATAATCGATTTCGACTCCAGTTTTTTAATATGTTGGCGCATGCTTTTTGCTGCTACTCCGCTTGCCCTAGTTTATTTATGTATAATTTCTCGCTCCTAAGGGTCGTGTCTTGATATTAGATAGTTTTATACTTGTGTAATAAATGGGCTATAACATGCAATATTAAAAATGAAAAATCATTTTTTTTTAAATCTGATAGTTCTAGGGCGTATTTAAATAAATGATAAAACAATCTTTTCAGCTATTTTAATATAAGAACCGACAAATATTTCACTACATTCTCTAACACAACTGCTATTGGCTACCATTACTTATGCAATACAATCTGAGGGATGAAACTAGGAGAAATAAGGGGATAAATAGTGCGCAAGTATGCACGTTCCTATCACTATCAAACTTCGGTGGAACTACAATTAACTACTGACTACGAGACACGAAGGAGTAACACCGCCATTTCCCCAACTTTAAATTATTAAAAAAAATCCAACAGAAAAGCTCATTAACTAAATTTGACCCGACCCAGGATTCGAACCCACAACCACCGAGGCAGTTTGAATGTTTATATAATTACTATGTATGTATGGATGTAACTTTACAGAATTATATAGCTTGTACATCAGACTTATTATTTATAAAGATAATATTGTTATACATAATTTAACGCACACAGCTTACACTTAGCTTAGCAGCTGTTGCCACAAGAAAATACTTGTAAAAAAATATATTTCTATTGATTCATCCCATCAATTAATTTATCCCTTTTCTGCCAGGATGACGTTCGCAGCGGCACTGGTGTTGCTCGCGTGGTGTGCGGCGGCGCGTGGTGGCGACCCGGTGTTCGACCCGAGCACGCTGATGCGGCTAGTGCTGGTGCCGGCGGACGCGGCCGTCGGCTCCGTCGTCTACCGCGTACGAGCTTCTGACCCGGACTTCGACTATCCGCTACATTTTGAACTTATCGGTACGATTTGGTATTAAATTCAAATATAATTGGTATCAATAGGTAATATTATCTACTTACTCGAATTTTCATCTAAATTAATTCAGCCGTTTCTGCATGAAAAAGTAACAAACATGCACACATTTACATACATCTTTCGTATTTGTAAGAGTAGTCCGAGTACTACATATGTATGTATCGCGGTACATGAAAAAGATTGGAATGATAATGGCTCGTACTGTTTGTATCGGTCAAAAAAATGAACTTTATACCCCTGTAAGGTAACTGAGTGAGATGAAATCTATACATACTCGTATGATAAAATTCTAATTGAGCCGAATCTGTACATTAAATATTTTTTGGAAAATCTTATTGAAATAGACATTATTATCGATACAGAGGCCGAATCTATAGTTTTTAGAATTTTTGTCTGTCTGTTCCCGCATACCGCATCACGGAAAAACCACTGGACGGATTTTGATGAAATTTGGTATAATGATAGCTGGTTATCCGGGGCAACATATAGGATACTTTTTATTGCGTAAGTAGAAACGAACAACTCGAGCGGAGCGAGGGTGAGTCACTAGTCATAAATAAATTAGAAAATATATCTTTTTACTACGTAATGGTCTTTTATATAAATATATTGCTCTTAACTTAAGAAAATTATGGATAGACACGTGTGTATGTATATAACTTATATAACGAAAGCAGTATAATTGGCATAAAACAAAGGCCGAAAAGACGTGTCTTGAAATATATTGTCTTAAGCTAAATAAGCCTAAAATTTGAAGAGGACTAATCGCGATTTACATTTGAGCTTGACTTATATATGTATAAAATGGACAAAATATTTATATATTATGCCGAATTTTATCTACATATACATAGATGCATTATAATATACCTAAATTAATTCAATTATCATTACATATAATAAAATTTAACTGAGCCAAATCTGTACATCAAATATTTTTTTGGAAAACTTTATTAAAATAGTCATTATTATCTATACCGAGGCCGAATCTATCTATAGATTTTAGAATTTTTGTTTGTCTGTCTGTCTGGAAACGCAACAAGAGAAAACCACTTGACGGATTTTGATGACAGCTGGTATATATATAATTTTCATTTCTTAAATAACGTATATTATTTTTTATTATTCAAATAATTTGTTAACAGGACAAATGGGTCGTCTAGATATCGGCATCGAGTCACTTCCTTGCACGCGTTACAACTCAGTATGCCAGGCCAACGTCATATTACTTCGGAGGCTGGAACCTGGCCGCTACGTCGACTTCAGACTGTCGGCTCGCAACACCCGAGGCAGGAGTGCCAGAATCGCTTGCTCTATTACTGGCACTAATGCTACCACTCCTAGAGACACGATATTCCCCCATCAGCCTGGTATTATATTAGTACCTGAGGTAACTAACAGACAACAGCATTCTAGTAATATTATGTAATAACACGTTATTTGTATGATAGTCTCTAATAATTCCCCATACCAAAACCCTACATAATTTTCAATTTTATCACTTAAAAAAGGCTATACGCTCGTAACGTTTTATTTATAGTAATAAGAAGTAACCCGCTGCTTTTTTAAATACCCCATTATCTGCTTAAAATAGTTTAATAGTACCCAGCGTTGAAACAGAAATTTACACAAAATACACTTAATCTCTATAAAAAATGTAAGTAATAGGTTTGACTCAGAATATTTTTAAGTTCATTTAGTCTCTGAAACATTTTTTATTACCTACCTACTGAATTATATCAAAATCGGTTCACTAAATTTAAGTATTTTTTATAAATTCAAACTTCAAAACTAAGCAGTAACATTTAAAATATGAATATAAGATTAGCGTGAAGCAAAAAACGATATCATCCAATAACTATCGGTAGCTGTGTATAGAGCTGCCGATATCTGCACTTCGCAATATTGATGTCATCAAATGAAGCATAGGACGCCTGCGGCGTGATGTGCCATGATTGATGATGATGACGTGAAACCTCGCTTCCTCGCGGAAACGTAATCGAAATTAACCATTTGCGAGTGACCTTTTAAAAGACGATAAAAATAATATTTACTACATAAAAAATATAAATCAGAGTGGCAATTAATTTTTATTTAATATTTATTATTAATTAACGTTTATTAAATTAATTGTTGCAGGATGCTAAACGTGGGACGGACCTCGAAATAGTTATTGCTAGAAAAAATCCATTGACGCCAAAACCACTGGAGTTGGAACTTTGGGTGTGTACATTTGAATTTTAAACAAGGATATAATTATATATTTATCAGTGTTACTCTGTTAATATGCAATAAATAATATATATATATATATATATATATATATATATATATATATATAAAGTGATTATTGGTTTTAATGATGTTCCCAGAGTGACAGCGTTCATTCGCATTTCCATGTAACCGCATAACGAAGTTTCGCTGCCACCACTAATAGGCCTCATTTTCATCGTGATATCGCGTTGACAGAATTTCACTAGCATAACTCATTTATCATTTCATTTTGGGAGCAAATACATTTATTATAAGATTACATATCTCTTTTAGTTATCTTTTTAAAATTGTAAATTGGTATAATTGATCTGAGTGATAATATGTTTTTCCTTTATACAAGTAAAGTACAAATTCGTCCCTAGGTGATATTTGAGGTTGAATATTCATTGTTACTGAAATAAAATATGGCTTTTATTACTTTTGGGATATGTATGATTTCAAATGCTAGAAGCATTATTAAAATCGGTTCAGTAGTTTTACTTTATCCAACAAGCAAACAAATATTTCTTTATCATTCAATTAACATAGAAAAATAATTCTAAGACATCTATAGGTAGTGTTTGATGCTAAGTCTGAGGTTTCGTTACAATCATAAACATTCATAAATGGAACTTCTCATTCATATAGTTTAGATTAACTTAAGAGATAGTTAAGCGATATAGCAGATCCTTGATTTTACTTACTGTCAAGAAATATATATAGATTTCAAAAGACCGTTTAGTAAACATATACCTACATACATATTTACATACTATCCAGCATAATTAAAATAGGTTAGAATATTGGTTATACGGAACACAATATTACACAATTACAGAGCATTAAGAAGTCTTGAGGCGTATTAAATTTCTCACAGTTCGCAGTAAATGGGTGGCACCCATGCCTTGAGATCTTATATATTCCATTGGAAATTTCTTACGAAATATATGATAAGCTTTGATTAATACATGAATGTATTTTAACGTAAATTTTAAAAGCCATATTACTAGTATAAATTGGATGACCTTTTTCCTCCATGTTTATCAAATAATTTGTAAAATTAAAAACGGTCACCGTTTCAAAGGGCATTAGCATTTAATTACCCTATATAATTCAATAGAATGAAAAAAACTACTAACATAGGTAAAGGTATTATTGACACGGTGTACCCGAGATGTTATCGTGCCGTACTTTATTTACCGGTTCTATTGAGAGGCCTGTGGAAAAACGCTTCTTATCATCCATTAAACGCTGTAATGATGGAGCGTGTAAGGACACGCACTGTAATTTAAAGCTGGCTGTACGTGATGAAATTAACTATTATATAGTGTTTTCTCATTTAAATTTCATTCTAAACAGTAATAATTCATTGCAAAGGTAAAAATTATACTGAATTAATAAATTGAATGAAATTTTTGTCGAAAATCATTTTTTTTAATTCCAGGCCTACTACTAATACGTAAAATGTTATGACTGTCTAATTAAAAACTAATTACCTCTTTCAATTTCACCATAAGGTCTTATAATAAATCAGTTAACCCTATAGATAAAAATCCCCATTGGCATACAACATACAGACAAACAAAGTAAAACACACTAACTTCCAATAGCTGACGCAAATAACAATTTGGGTGACTCCTATAATGTAAATTATTCGTAAATATTATATTAAAAGAATATTCATACATTATTCAAATGTCAGCCCCTTCAAATAATCGGAACGCTAAGTACCCACTGATTCAACGCCGTTTAATACTCTCGCGCCGTAACTACATGTTTGTTATAATAATGACTCTCGTCATCGCCTCGTCCTCTTTATCCAATCCTTATGGAATACAACGATCTCTTACCATGCTTTCACCGTAACCTTATATACAAAATCATGTCCACAATAAAACTTTGCGGAATTTTTACGATCGTAATATTTTTTTTAATTTCGAGCGCTCAACCTATTCGCAGCTTTTACGACGACATCAAAGCTATACCAAGTTTCAGGTCATATAACCTGTATGAAAGAACTAGTTCATAAAGGTTGATTAAAACCTTTTTTCACGTCTCCATTGTCTCTTTGTGCAGGGTTCTCCGCTCTTCGCAATAAGGCAGCGTCGTGTGTCTACAGAGAACACAGAAGGCACGATATTCTTAGTCGGCCCATTGGATTTCGAGGCGCAGTCCATGTATCATTTAACATTATTAGCTGTGGTAAGTTCTACGAAAGCCTAATGTAGTTCAGTGGTATGCATTAACGAGAATGATAAAAATGACGGTCATTTGAATTTTCGTTATTTTAAGGTAGCATTAGTTACATCTGATTAACATGAAATATGTTTTGAGATGCATTTCAACGTCGTAATGGTTTATTAAATTGATTTTGTGATACTAATTTTGTAATTAAACAAGAAACGACTAATATAAGTGTATAAGATAACATTTTTATATCTACACTGGTATGTTAAATATTACAGGATCCCTATGTAGAACTGGGAAAAGATACTCGAAATATTGCCGGTTTGGAAGTCGTTGTAGTAGTCCAAGATGTTCAAGATATGCCTCCAGTGTTTACATCGGCACCTCCTATCACGCACTTGCCCCGTCAAGTGGCGCCCGGTGACATGATAGTGAAAGTTCGAGCTGAAGACGGGGATAAGGGAGCGCCGCGACAGATCAGATATGGCCTTGTATCCGAAGGAAACCCGTTCACGCCGTTTTTTAACATCAATGAAACTACAGGTAAGTGATATCTGACTATTTATCAATAGATTTTAATTTAGATCTTATTTTTTCTTTACATGCAATAATATATTTGAGAATAAAATCCAAACAAATTTTGTAAATTTCTTAGTATATTTACACGTACATGACTTAAGTGAACACTCATAGAAATATATACACAATTTAGATTATATTAAAGCAGCTAGATATTGGTAATGTATTAAACAAGGATATATATGAGACACTTATCGAATGTACGGAAATACAATTTCCACACTATGTGCGTAGCCCACCGATAACATACATTTAAACTTTAACATTGTATAAGTCGAAAGTTTCATGTAAAATGCATGTCCACTGCACACTCAGAGCAAATTCGATCGAACTGCCTTTTGATATTCCGAAGTTAAGATATCAGATCTCCTGCCAGTATTGTGTTATGGTTAGATCGTCCTTTTCATTTTACAGAGTTCTTTTTATAATAGCCTTTTGTCTATCATTCAAGGCTCTTTACTATTTACTAATGGCAATGATTTTTTTTTGTTTTGTTATTTTTTTTGCTTGTATTGTTTTCATTTTGTTTTTTTAAAAAGGATTTTAATGAAATCTCAATTATTAGTGTTTACAAACAGTGGGCCTAGCTTATATACTAAGTATTTAGGCTTTGGATAGACACTTTAATAATAATTACAGAATTATATTATTCTTTATAAATAACATATTCTAAAAATTTCAAGTACTTGCATATCGTTCATATTAGTGAAAAAAGTTTATAATAAAGAATCATCCGACTGTAAGCGTCGCACAAAACCTCGCGTGTTGCAAGTGGCAGTTGTTTATGACTTTTATGGTAATGTAAATAGCATTTAAATGTAAATAGAGTGCATTTTCTATGAATTTTACACTCAAATATAATAAACAGAAAAAAAAAATATGTGTAATTTTTAAGTGCGCAAATGATTCGTTATAAGAGTTACTCGATGGTCTACAAAAAAGTATAGATTTTGATAAGTATTGGCTGAAATATAGTAGCTTGCGGCATTTTCTTTTAATCATATAAAATATCCTTAATGCCTGGCATTAAAAATAAAATTCTATAGGCCTAAGAAATTTATTATGTCAATAACCGTTTAACATCGTAGTGAAGACGCGAAGAGACTTTGTACAGGTCTAGATTAGTATGTCGAAAGCCACGACTTATGAAGATCTATTGAAATAAATGAGCCCTTAACATTTATTCTGAAGGTAAAGGATTACTATATTTCTGTTATTCGAGACTTCAATTTGCATTGAAAGTGTTTATAAAAGTCGTAATATTTAACTGTTCTAAACTAGTTTATAACATTGAAAAACATCGTTGAGATCATTTGATAGATTAATTGCATAGATATACGTTAGCCTTAACTCTTAGTTTAGAGAACAATTTGAAACAAAATCTCGTTTTATCTATGTATTTATATAATAAAACCGTACTGAGGTCAAAGTTATTCTTTTTTTTTTGAGATAGAAAAGATTTTTTTTTTGTCTATTTATGGTAGAGATACCAGCGATGTACAAAGTTGAGGATAGGTTTAGTAATATAGTAAATTAAACAGAAACAGTGACGAATATGCAGCAAGCAGTTGTAAGTTTTATAATAAAGCTATTAATATAATTACTAGCAGAACCCGTGGCTTCGCTCGCGCTAAAACTACAAAAAAATCTCTAAAAAGGTAGTTTCATACAAATTTTCATCCCTTATTTTACCCCCTTATAGGATGAATTTCAAAGAATGCTAAAACTCGTGTTTATTTAACTTTATTGAAGAGAATTTACCAAGTTTCCAGTAATTCTGATCATAAATATTTTTTTGTATTGTATTATAACGTATTTTCCTGTGTGAAGTAGATAATCTTCCGCGGTAAAAAGTAGCCTATGTCACTCTCCAGCCCTCCAACTATGTCCACACAAAAAATCACGCCAATCCGTCGATCCGTTTGGATGTGTAAGAAGGACAAACAAACAAACAAACTTTCACATTTATAATATTAGTATGGATATAGTCGACAATTGCAATTAACTAATAACCAAAAATAAAATAACATATAATGCAGTCAAACAGTCTTATTAAAAATAATAAACAAAATAGTAATACGTAGTATCTGTTATGGTGTACCTACTACATTATAAAACAATATTGAGCACAACAACAAAACATCTGTTCCTGCTTGCTTTAAAATTAACATTTATTTTCCGCAGCTTGTTGAAACCTATACCAGGGCAAACTTTGTTCGCCACTAGAAAGTACCTTGATTTTTCTCCTACGTAATTTTCCACTCAGATTACTTATTAATGTGAGAGGTCGTCGCTCTGTATGGGAACGATATTTTATTTTATCGAAACGCTTCATTTTAAAAATTTACAATAAATCAAACTTCTCAATAAATCTTTTTATATCTATATAATAAAATTGTAACTAAGCCGAATCTGTACATTAAATATTTTTTGGAAAATCTTATTGAAATAAACATTATTATCGATTCAGAGGCCGAATCTATAGTTTTTAGAATTTTTGTCTGTCTGGCTGTCTGTCTGTCTGTTACCACATCACAGAAAAACCACTGGAGGGATACTGATGAAATTTGGTATGGTGATAGCTGGTTATTCGGGTCAACATATAGGACACTTTTTACCGCGGGAAAATGTCTCATTCCTGAGAAAAAAATACAAAAACTGCAATATAAGAGCATACTACTGATATGTAAAGCCTAAGAATTTGGTCACCTGAACGCGGGTGGAGCCGCGCGCAATGCTAGCACAGTATATAAAATGCAAATAAAATTTGCACTGTAATAACTATTAGTACATGTGGTTGTAAATATATGCCTTATGGCGTTATTATGACTGTATATTAGTCATTATAGTACCTATATGAAATTCTACTTCATAATGCTTATTAATAAAATAACGTTATGTTTTGACGTTTTGTACAGATTTCTCAGAATTACGATATTTTCCCGCAGTAAAAAGTATCCTTTATGTTGAACCGGATAAGCAGCTATCATTAATAATAAATTTCATCATAATCTGTCCAGTGGTTTTCTCGTGATCTGTTCCCAGGCAGACAGACAGACAGACAAAAATTCTAAAAACTATAGATTCGGCCTCTGTATCGATAATAATGAGTATTTCTATCAGATTTTCCAAAAAATATTTAATGTACAGATGCGACTCAGTTAGAATTTTATTAATTATGTATAGTTTAAAAAATTGTCCAATACAACTTTTTAAATATATTTCAATTGTACTTATTAAATACTCAGTCATTGTAGTCTATCTCTGATAATATCAGCTCGGTGTCCACAGGCTTCCAAAGGGTATCCTTCTTCCTTATCGAACATGGCCTTTGACCCAAGCGTTGCCACCACTGCATCGCGTGACCCATTTCACTCACTATTTTATACAAAATAACTTTAGCCATTTTATCAAAATTAAATCCAACTCTAGCCGCTAACTTTGACAATTAACCACTAAGTTGTGCTTATTTCCTGGTATCAACTGAAAAACTCTACTATATTCATGGTAAAGTAGACTTTATTTAAATCTCTGAAGCGTCAAAGCCAAATTACATTAGAGCTTTTTAGTCTTCATTAAATGTCAGATGGAATTATGAGGTTTTAAATTGAAGGCGCTAGATAACGAGACTAACACAATGTTTGTACTGTGAAAGGAGCTTTTTGAAAGCGTCCAGTATAAAATGGGAATATTGAAGCAGGTTAATGCAATGTATACTTTATTATTCGATTATTACAAGCTAATGTGGCTTGAATAAACGAAGTTTGATGTAGTTCGATACAAGTTGGGTTGTTCCAAAGTTGAAGATCGAATGCCTAGCCCAGAATTTTGCCGAGTCGCCGCATAATACCTCATTAGACCATACCCGCTGTCGTTTTACAACCATTGTTTGTAAAGAGTAAGCCGCTGTATTTCATAATATTATTTATTTTATACTATTTTAAATAAATTAAAATATATATCATAAATATCAATAAATTTATTCATTTTTTTTTGATTTTTAGTATATATAAAGATTTGCTATGTAAAATATTATAATCTTACTATAAATCGTACCTTTTAGGTTCTAAAGTAAACAGTGTATAATTTTACATACAAACGCAAACAAGGCATGCTATTGTAAACAATTGAGCTGTCTTAACTTACTTTTCATAATGAAGGGATACTTAGTTTGAATAGTCTTCTGGTAGACATGACAATACACACTACGGTTCCGGCTAGAGACAACTGCGCTTCACAGATACGCTCAGCTTTACCGTTAAATGATAATGATTCAAATCATACGTAACGAAATTCTACCTTTCCGCTTATTTTGTATTACAATAGCATTTGTTTTGGTTTTGTGCCTATAGTTTTTTGTGATTGTAGTTTCTGATTTTTATCTATTAATTTTTTTTTTTATTACTAATTCAAATTTTGTTGCTTCTCATTTGTTTAAGGGGATAAATTCGGAAAAATACGTTGAAATATATCTTGAATGCATTGTTTAGAAACTTGTTAATAAAAATTTAAGATCACTATATTATAGTATTATAGCATAATATGTATAAGTAATAGTATTTTAAATAGATAGTATTTTCCATATAAACTTTACTGCCTTTCTTCACATAAGTTGGTTGAATTTCATAAAAAAAGTTTCGTTGTTAATTTTCTTTCATCATAAAAAAATCTGCTTTTAAATATTACATTATTTGAGATTTTTTATTTATCAATTCGGGGCCTACTGTATTCAGCCCTTTATAACGTCCTACTGCTGGGCATGTTTAATACGAGAGGTATTAGATCATAGGGCACCACGTTGGCCAAGTTCGGGTTGGCGGATTTTACATGTCTTTCGAAAACATTCTAGATTGTCTTAGACGTGCAGGTTTCCACTCGATGTTTTCTTCCACAGTAAATAGTATAGAAAATGATTCACACAAACACGCACATGAGATTACCTGAGCTGAAACACCGGGATTTGAACCCGCTTCACTTGATTTCCTAAGAGACCCGTTTCTACAAAAACATTTAGATCTATTAAATTTATTTCTATTTGTATATTTTCACACAAAAATAGTTTAAATCAAACAAATTATTTTAATCAGTAGAAATGTTGTATAACAATGAATAAATAACTACTTTCAAAGGTCACCTTACTCAATTTCCCATTTTCTATTCTAACAAAGTTATACAGCTCACTCAGACTAATGGTTTTGATACATAAAATGAGTCGCAATATCGTATTTTTGCTTGAGAAGTTCCCGATGGATCACATGTCAAAGACAAACTCTCAGTAAATCTGTTCAAGAAAAACTTGTATATTTTATTGCAAATGTTTTTGACGGGTAAATAAATTGTGATAGATTTTTCTATTATGTATTAAATCGTAGTACGTTAATGGTTTAATGCTTTTAGTTTATAAATTCATGTACAATATTAATTAATTTAATTTATTATTGCAAAAAAGGCCGTGGTAGCCCAGTGGTAACGCCTTCGCTTGGAAAACCGAGTGAAGCAAGTTCAAATCCCGGGTCTCGCACCTCTGATATTTTCATGTGCGAATCATTTTCTAACATGATTACCACTTGTCTTAACGGTGAAGGAAAACATCGTGAGGAAACCTGCATGTCCGAGAGAACCTAGCAAGTTTTCGAAAGACATGTGAAGTCTGCCAACCCGCACTTGGCCAGCGTGGTGGACTACGGCCTGATTCCCCTCGTATTGAAGGGAGGCCCGTGCCCAGCAGTGGGACATTAAAAAAAAAAAAAAAAAAAGGGCTGAATACATTATTGCAAACGTAGTGGACGGTCAAATATTTAATCGTGTGTAATATTTATTGAATGAACAATTAGGTTTAATAGGTTTATTTACTTAATATCTATGTAGTTTAATTATTATTAACAACGTTCTAAGCCTTGAAAGAAATGACCCACCAACTGCTGCGTGCCTACTTTGCTCGCATAATGAATGTCCTTTGTTATTTTATTAATTTTTTTTGGACTGCTGTTGTTGTCCTTGAATCTACAGTAACGATGGAAAAATTCTGTTTACTGATACGTTACGTTTTGATTTCGGATAAATTTTTATTACCTTATGTACAACTAGCATTGACCGCGGCTCCGCCCGCGTTCAGATGACCAGAAACCAAAATCTTAGGTTTTATATATTAGTATCTTCTTACAATAGATGTATTTTTTCTAAAAAATGAAATATTTTCCCACTGTAAAAGTATCTTATATGTTGACCCGGATAACCAGCTATCACCACACCAAATTTCATCAAAATCCCTCCAGTGGTTTTTCTGTGATGTGGTAACAGACAGACAAAAATTCTAAAAACTATTGATTCGGCCTCTGTATCGAAAATAATATTTATTTTAGTAAGATTTTCCAAAAAATATTTAATGTACAGATTCGGTTCAGTTAGAATTTTATTATATGTATAGATAACTGCACAATGAAAATTTGTACGGCATTTATCGAGTAATGCGCGACTAAATAGACTAAAATATGCTAAAAACGATGAGTTTGGCCTATATTAAATGACTAAGATCCCGCTAACATATTTATTAGGTATATGATAATATGAATGATATAGCTATAGAAAATGTCTAAAGGGCTTAAACTTGTACTAACACGATTAACAGACGTACCTACTTTTTAACGTAATTTATTAACGAACTCATGAAACTTTAATGAGACAAAGATGCCTACTCAGTGACAATTCGAGTAATAAACAGCAAGAAACACTTTTGTATGCTAATTAGGTAATTAGTGTCAATTTTTCCACTTTCACTTTGGACCTATGCTGTTATGAAATATTTAATGCTATTATACATTAGTTCTTTCAAGGAAAATATACAAGAATTGTGCACTTACATTATCTCAAATGACTGAGAAAATAATTTTTATAAAAAAAGACGGAGTTCTAATGTAAATAGCATAATATGCAATAAGCCATATAGTTATTTTTTTTAATATATAGTTTACTAGTAGGTAATATCCTATATCGTATCGTAAGTCTACGAATAGTAACTTTGAGTTATACCTTTCATGCGACAGCCTTAGTAATGAAACACGTACCTCGTCACCTCCAGAACAAAACATGGGTAAAATAATGTTTTATTCAAAGAGACGGGTGAAGAATGGTTTTTGTTTCGTCCTAATATAATAACAGACAAGCGCGCGACAAGACCCATGTTAAGATGAATCTCATATAATCTTGTTTTATATTTATACTAGTAATCTACGGCTCTGCTTGCTTGTATTGTTGCTATTTATGCATTTACAGTACATTATTTTAGAAAAGTTATTTGTTTTTTTTTGGTACACAGAATGAAGGATAAAATATTAAATAGGCAACGAAAGGGTTGGTATGGTTTTTTTATTCAATTTAAGCCTTTTTTTTAATGTTGCTAAATACATACGCATATCACCTGTAGTCATACGGGTGGTTATGTGGGACTCACCGGCTAGAAAAGCCAGTACTACCCACTAAAACCCAACAAAACCTTGCTTGTCTTCATGGGGTGTTGCAGGATCACTTATACACTCAACTATAACGCCCCGACGGCAGGTCTGCCGAAGCAGACCACAACAACCATGGGGTTGCTCCACAGTCCATTCTGCTATCAGAGAAGTACCAAGAGCAACTCGCATATTCGCCTACCGAAGTGGGTCACCTCCCTGTGCGTTTCTTGGCGTCGTGCCCGGCTGCTAATGAGCCCCTCCACCATGACAAGGTGAACGCACGTTGGGGGAAATTAAGAGGAATTTAAGCCTTCCTTTGCTGATAAATTTTCAAAATTTATCATTATTATGTATTTACAAAAATATGTAGTAAGTCGATCAGAAATAACATCTAAAAGCTAGATATTAAGCACCTAAAACACTAAATCTAAATTGTTTCTCATGACACCCATTGACCTAAGTACCTAATGACTCATTATAATTTCCTTTTGTAAGCAGAAATCACGTAGGTGTTACTGTCATTCAAAGCATATTTAAATGGATACGGTTGGAAAGATATTTTCTGAACGCACTCTGTCCACGCAATATCTGTTTAAGCCTGTATGCTAATCACAGCATTACTAAATATGATTTGCTATAATGAATACTCTGTACCTATTGTAAAGTTTTAATATCGCAATTTGTTATACAATAACTAATCATGTACTTGTTTTCATAATTAATTTATATATTATATTGTATACTAACAGAACCTGCGGCTTCGCTCACGCTTAAACTACAAAAAAAAAACTCTAAAAAAGTAGGTTTCATATAAAATTTCATCCTCTATTTTACCCCCTTATGGGATGAATTTCGAAAATGCTAAAACACGTATTTATTTATTTATATTGAAGAGCATTAATGCAAAGTTTCAAGTAATTATGATCATAAATATTATTTTTTTCGTTGTATTATAACGTGTTTTCCCGTGGGAATGAGATAATCTCCCACTTTAAAAAGTCCTATGTCACTCTCCAGCCATTTAACTATCTCCACACAAAAAACCACGCTAATCCTTCACTCTGTTTCGTTGTGACAGAAGGACAAACAAACAAACACACTCTCGTTCAATTTATAATATTAGTATGGATAATATGTATAGTAGAGGAGCATAGGTCATACAAAATAAATTTAAAAAATAAATAAATTTTTTGTATATAATTTATTTAATATAAAAATATTTGACTATCTAATTTATTTAACTACTTTATTGTGATTCAAATATAAAATCATTTTAAATACAAATAATACCATTAAATTAATATTATTTTAATATTATTTGTTCAACGACATCTAGCGAAAAGCTACTGAAATACGTAAAGCGCTACAGACTACGCATTAAATATGGGAGCTTCAGATTCCATAAGCTTATTTGTGTACGAAAAAATATCTAGATGGCGCCAAAACATAAATCTTGTATTTTTCTTAAAATAATTTTATAAACACACTTTGTAAAGCCACAATATAAATACAACTTCACTATACTTACTTACCTTGTAACTATAGTATATTTTATATGTGCAAATAATATAATATGTAATCCGACCACCTATATTGCCATTTAATTATATTAATTATGTTTATTTTTAAATATCTGTACAGATAAATAAAATTGAAATGTTTGTTTGTAACGTCAAAATAACAGCTTTTTGCTAAATGAAATTGGAATTATATACGGTATTTATAAGAAAAAAAACAATTTTTTTTGTCTGTCTGTCTGTTTATTTGTTCCGGCGAATCTCCGAAACGACTGGGCCGATTTTGACGAGACTTTCACTGGCAGGTAGTTAATGTTATAAGGAGTAACTTAGGCTACTTTTATTTCAGTAAAAGAATTAGGGTTCGGCTCTAGAAAAATAGTTTTAATATAAGATTCTACTAATTATGAACTGAAAATTATATTATAGTATATTGTTCTATACATTTAATAAATACACTGTATACATTAATATCACCTTACTTACACTTGCTTCGCTCGGGTCCCTAGGAGCCAAATAGTAACATATGCTTACTTCAGATTATAGTTTATATCCTAGATGTCATCCAAATTCGTCCAACCGTTTAACGAAGTAATTAACATACATATACACACATACTTTTACAATTATAATAGTCCAATTTAATATTTTTTCAGGTGAAGTGACTCTCGAGAGGCCGATCGAAGAGATAGCGGCAATATCGCATGCAGGAGCTCCTATACTTCTTACTGTGGTAGCTGAAGAGGTACGACTCTCTCGGGAAGAACCTGAAGCCATGTCGTCGACTGTTCAATTAGCTTTTATACTACCTGAACGGGACAACTCACCGCCGTACTTTGAGAATGAATCGTAAGACAATATTGTATTTTTTATAAATTAATAAAATAATATTAATTAAAAAAACACGTCCACAGTGTACTCCTTGATCTTTCACAAATAATTTAACTTTATATTACTTATAGATTATACTGAAATTAATATAAATCTTATATCTCTAATGTTTTGGTGTCGATGCCTATTTTTCTTATATTTCAAAACAAACAGTTATTTAAAAAAATTTACCTAAATTATGAATATTAAAATTATTATTTTCTTAAAATGTGTAAAGCATAATATGATAATTTTTTTATTGATCGTTTTCCAGATACATAAGTTATTTGGATGAAAATGCTCCTCAAGGTACGGCGCTAGTATTCAACGATCCTTATATTCCCCAAGTGAATGATAACGATGCTGGAAAAAATGGTGTGTTCTCTCTCTCACTAATTGGGAATAATGGTACTTTTGAAATATCACCAACAGTTGCGGAGAGGCATGCGCAATTTATCATCAAAGTTCGGGACAACACAATGCTGGATTTCGAGGCCCGCAAATCAGTCATTTTTCAGGTATACTTTTAATCCGATAGTTTATTTAAAGTTTTGAAACATTTAACATGAGGAATTGGAATAAAAACCTATAATTAAAATATATATATATATATATATATACATATATATATATATATATATATATATATATATATGATAAATTAAGTAAAAGTCAAAATGTTATTTTGTTTTTAGATTTTGGCGCAAGAACTTGGTCCAGCAACGAACTTATCAGCAGTTGCAAACGTAACTGTATATTTAAATGACGTTAATGATAACCCTCCTGTATTTTTAGCACTCTCATACGATGTAGAATTACCAGAAAACGTAACAGCAGGTACGAGAGTTGTACAAGTTGCCGCCGATGACGTAGATACAGGCGAATTTGGGAAAATCCAGTTTACTGCCATATTAGGTTATTTGAATACGTCATTAAACTTAGATCCCATGTCGGGAATAATTACTATAGCGACCAATAATCATGGCTTCGATCGTGAAGCGATGCCAGATTTGCATTTTTTAGTAGAGGCTAGAGACAATGACGGTGTAGGTTTAAGAGTAACAGTGCCATTAATTATTAAGTTATTAGATGTAAATGATAACCCACCAGAATTTGAGAGGTCGTTGTATGAATTTGTACTATCGTCAAGTTTAAATAACTTCACATCAGCAGCATTTGTAAAGGCAGTTGATAAAGACGCTGAGCCACCAAATAATATAGTAAAATACGAAATTATTGAAGGAAATAGAGACGGAAAGTTTGCAATTAATGAAGATACTGGTAGGTTTGCTCATATTGTTTCTTCAAGTAATATGTAACATTGTACAAATTATATACTTTATTATTTTGATATTTCAGGTGAATTATATTTATTAGAAACTTTAAAAAGGACCAAGAAACAAAACGTTCATAGAAAAAAGCGACAGTATGATGACAAACCAGAAAACGAAGTTTTTATGTTAACCATTAGAGCTTATGATCTTGGAATACCAAGATTAACCTCAAGCGCAACTGTAAAAATTTATCCTCCAGAAAGTAAAACACGGACTATGTCTTTTATAGTTCCTGGTTCTAATCCAGATAGAAAGAAATTAGAAGAAATTTTAAGTACATTATCTGGAGGAAAAGTTACTATTGTAGATGTAAAACCTTATAAGGGTGATGATAAAGGAACACCAGATCTTAGTGGCCAAGAGTCTAGTCAAGAAAAGTAAGATATATCATTAAATATATATGAATAAATATTTGTGAAGAATTTTAACAAACATTTAATACACTAAATTTATTTTTAGAAGCGTGGTCATAGCTGTAGTACGGATGGCTGGCAACTCCGCCATCAACGTAGCAAAACTCCAGGAACAATTAGCAAAAAACGTGACTGCTTACTCAACAGGCACAGTACACACACACAGTAATGAGCACACGTCGACCACCGAAGATAACTCGGTAATATATTTATATTTACAAAACGAAACAATAAATAATTTATTTAAAAAAATATGTTTATTTATACTATTGTTTGTTGTTTGTTTCAGGGTGTATACAAAGCAGAAAGCCGTTTATTATTTTGGCTTTTGATCTTATTAGCAATATTAATAGCTCTAGTGCTACTTCTACTTATTTGCTGCTGTATATGCGAGGGTTGCCCCTTATATATGCCACCAAGGTATTAAATATTTTATATGAGAATTGTATACACGCTTATAGCAATAATTGTCTACACATTAATTTCAATAATACTATTATAATTATTCTATTATATATTATTATACATTACATCATTTATGTACATATTTATTAGTAATTGTATGCTGCTTATTTATTTGAAATGTATAATAAACAAGGAAAAAGTTAACTAAAATAGTTTTTTATTGGCTATTTATTTCTATAAGGATTGAAAAATATTATGTTCTAACAAAACGCACACATTTATATCCCACCTTTTCAATAGAGCAAATTATAGCACTTTCACCACTTGTCGGTCTTAATTACTATAAAAAAATAACATTAAGAACAGATAGGTACATAGATATCCATTAATAAATTCTAGGAAAAGAGTGATACGTGTCAACTCCACAGAGGACGACGTGCATTTAGTGGTACGCGACAAGGGAGTTGGGAGGGAAAACAAGTCGACGCAAAATATAGAAAATAAGTCTATACAAGCACCTGAATGGAGAAGACGAGAAGCCTGGAGCGCAGAACAAACCGATTTAAGAACAAAACCAACGCAATGGAAATTCAATAAAAGGAACTACAGAGGAAAAGAACCAACTAAACCAGCTTCAACACCTGGTGACATTCGGCAAGAATTTGTTCATGCTGCCACTGATAATGACTACAAATATGATGACGCAAGACAATCCATTCGACAGAGGTAAGCTAAATTGTTAATTCTTAGCAAAAAAATATTATACATATTCAAGATATATCACTGGCGAAATAGCTAGAGAGAACATTATACATTAAAATTCTCTTTATTTTTCTAAAATGCGAAATAAAAAACTTTAGTATTAAATTCTAGCAAAAATAATAGATTTTATATCTATTTTCACTCAATTAGTTAAGTTAGTTTTAATTTAAAGCCATCGATTGTGATCTATTTTTTTTTTCAGAGATGGTCCAAATATAATCTATACAAAAGAAATGCAACTTCAGGAAGCTTTTACAAATAAACACAAAGAATATATTGAAGATCTCGAAAACGGTTACGACAGAATAGCAACTTTACACCACCATCGCAAGGAACAAGACAACGATTCTTTGCGAAGGCACGAAATTGAGCGTGGCTCTGAAGTTGGAGGATTCCTTAAGTCGGACAATGATAGAAACATTCATGAAAAAGAAGAAAATAAATCGAAGCGTGAATTTGATAAACATGCCCAATCCTCCTTAGGTAGAGATCAATATTTTATAAAAGAGGGTAATACTGAAATTCTAAGATTAGTAACACGTGGTAAAAATGAAGAGGAACGCTATGTTAATCTTCCCATTCATCAACAGCGACCTGTAACATTAATTCCTCACACTCAATATGTGGTTGTCGATAGTGGTAAAGAAATGCTGATGGAAAGATTTATTCGAGAGCAAGGTGAAGAAGCGAGTAACATGAGAGAAAAAATGAATAAAGTCACTGACCTCGATGATATTTCCAATGATAAAGATGGTAAAAGTATTGGACAAAAATCACAAGGTGCTGACAATCAAAACCTTCACGCTTATTCAAATTTGCAACCAGATGTCCCGGGGTTAGTTCCACAGAGATCAGATTACTTACAAACCGCTTTATTAGAAATGCAAAATAAGTCATCCATTCATCAAGAATTATTAGAATCTTCTTTGCGAAAACAAAATGAATTACTTCATCAAATATTAATAGAAAGGGAAAGGTTGTTGCAAAATCAAGAAACAGCATCACAAGTAGAAAGCAAATTGGAGACTCAAAGCTTACCTGGGCATTCTGTTATGGCTACTCAAACAGAATGTCATATTGGCACTCAAACAGAACCGCACTTATTAAATGAAGTAAAAAGGAAATCTAGAAGTGACAATGACTCATATAGTGAAGACGAATCTCAGCCAACAACAGATCAAACCAAAAAAAGTGCCTGGATAAAAAAGAAAAAACCTAAGAAAAAAATTAAATATAGAGACCCTAGACGAAGTATACGAGTTTATGAACTAAAAAGAAAAATAAAGACACCTATAATTGAAGAAAGTGACGTCTCTCCTTCCTTAGAAAGTGAAAAACATGTTAAAATTAGTAAAACTAATGAAAGAGAAGAAAGGATAAAACATTATGGAGACATTACCAAAAGTACAGTTACTACTTCAAAGAATGAAACTGTAAGTTCAACTCAAATTAAAGCTGCAGATGGTGATAAGAAACCGAAATTACGACGAGAAGTGTTATTGGAAATTTCGGATTCACTTGATGAAAAACTTGACTCTGATATATATAACAATAGATCAAGAATAGAACATGATATAACTCCTACAAGTGACGAAATTACAAGACAGAAACTTATTCAAGAACATGAAAGTACCAAAAGTATTCCGAGTGCTAGTAGTTCAGGTAGTAAAGACAAAAGAAATTTAATATTTTCTCGCCAGGGATCTTCAACCGAAGAACGGGAACATGCTATTGAATCTAGCAAAAAAGTACTGATTACTGATATGGACGAACATGAAAGACTTGATACTGCAAAAACAGGACAACTTAGTGGAAAAGAGGCGTCGTTGAGAAAGGATGGAGAAATTGAATCTACAAAATTAAGTGACTCTTCAAAACCAGTCCAAAAAAGCTTACCTAGATATATGCAGTGGTATAACAAGAAATCAAATGTAAGCTCGAAACCAACAGCATCAGATAAAATTGCGCCGGATAAACCTAAAAGACCCTCAAAAACAAAAATAGAGCAAGAAAAAGATTCTAAAGAAAAAGCTGGTCGATATGGTAAAATAATGAGCAAAGAAAGTCAGAATCAAGTTGGAGAGGCAAAAAAAAACTACAAAGAAAAAGAAAGTGACTTTATTCATCCACGGCTATTAAAAGAAGGCAGAGTTACACCTGTACCAGAGGGACCGCTACCCGATGTTCATCCATTATTACAGCACTCTGAGCATAGATATGAACACCAGTATGAAAATCAAAACCCATTATGCTACATTAAACCAACGCATATACCAAAATATCTAGGAGGTTCGACGAGTGCTCCTGTTCTACCTAGACGGCAATCTTTAGAACAACAGCCCATATATGTCAATCAAAATGATATAAAAAAAAATGATAAACAAGATATTTCGGAAAGTGCTTTAACGCATAGTATATCAATTTCAACTAAATATGATAATGATAGAAAATCTGCTGGAGAAGTGCATGTTTCCAAGATAAATATTGGGGGAGATTCTACTGCAGAAATAGCTCAGAGAGGTGTGACGTCAAAAATTGATGATAATGATTCTGGTATTGCCATGAGCACGCTAGTTCAAAAAGCTGGTAATATAAAAAGATTACCAATAACAGAGAAAAAAAGCGTTTTTACTATCGCTTATGATGATGTCCAAACAAAACAACTGAGGCCTGACAGTAGTTCCACGTCTTATTGAATTAAAATATTTTTTTGATTCGTCATCCAGAGTGCCTTATAGATATTATTTTTCTATAATACAAATAATTATAAACTTTGTTCCGTCCTATTTATTGAATATAAAACTTATTACGTTGTAAATAGTTTTTTACATAAATGTATTAGTAGATATAACTAATAAATCAACTGCCTTTATTTATGACTGGTTTATAAATCATTTTTGTACTTGTATGAAACATTTTATTGTATATAAATATAATGTAAGGAAACGTATTATTTAAATTAATTATAGCTTTAATAAATCTATTGTAAATAATTATTTCTTCGTCCACATTACCCGTACTGTTTCAGTATGCAATTCTATATTTGTTATAAAATATAAAGTTATACGATTATACTTATGTGTTTGTTTTATTTGTCTTCATTGTTAAATATATTCTGGCTAGTTAAAGTTATTTAATTGAAGAATTTGAGTGCAAATTCATGACAGATGATGAGCTTGTGGGTTCGACTTCCACATATGTATAACTTGAGTATTTGCTAATAAAAAAATTATCTACATATAAATAAATAAAATTGAAGTGTCTATTTGTAATATCAAAATAACAGCTTTTAATGCATATGAAAATATATACGGAACTTATAGAAAAACTCAATTTTTAAAAATTTTACCTGTCTGTCTGTTTGTTCCGGCTAATCTCCGAAACAGCTGGACAGATTTTAACGGGACTTTCACTGGCAGATAGGTAAGTTATAAGGAGTAACTTAGGCTACTTTTTTTTTACAATAAAGAATAAAGAAGAAAGGGTAACTCGCTAGTAACCTATATGCATTATACTAAAAAGGACATCAATTTGTAAGAAACTATGAAAGATTTTTGTTTTCGTCAATATACGAGTACGAGTAAAAACAATTTTTATCATATCTTCTACTAGCAGAAGCTTATGTGAAGCTTAGTGCACAGATATAGTAGAACTTGGAGTAGCACACGTTTTCATGGAGCCACTATTAGTAATGAAATTGCCAAAAGATGGCGCTGCATACCTAAAATATTCATAAATTCAAAAGAGAACTATCAATGCAACCAAGCAAAACGAGGGTATGTCGCTAGTAACACATATGACAATTTATAGAGCCTAATCTATATAAATAAAAATGAATGTTGCTAAGCGCAAAACTCGAGAACAGTTCGACCAATTCAGCTATTTTTTTGTGTGTTCACGTAGGTACACGTAAAGTTTTAATAAAGAAAAAATATAAAATAAGGTATATATATATAGTATTAAAACATTAAAAAAAAAAACAAAAAAAGTATTAAAATTTGTATGGCTAATGCTGGCTAATAACTATTTATGTCTATTTAAAACGTACCTAGCGACGAACCGCTAGTGATTAATATAATTAAAAAAATTATATTTTTCTCCATCTCTAAGAGTATCTCATTGCATAAATTTAAAAAAGCAATACACTTTATTATTATAGCAATATATTCTTCTTTAATTAATATGCTATAATTAATTTAATAAAATAAATATATATATATATATATATATATATATATATATGTTAATAAGACCTACTGAATTAGTAGCAAACACAATAATTTTTAAAGAAATAAATGCCCCGAGCACCCGCTACTGTTTTCTATAAAATCATCATCCATATAAATAAAATTTTATTCTAATTATTTGATAAAATTTTTACCAACAGTACGGTAAAAAGACAATTCAATGAAAGAAAGCATCTTAATTCCTAGCACTCCAAGGTGGTTGCGGCACTTTATCCGCCGCCATTGTCGGCAATTTTGGCCCACTCAGTACCAAGCTCGCATCAACTCACAAGAGTTGCTCTACGCTAGTATAGTATTATACGATCTCTGCTCTACGTTATCAAGCTCTATCAATAAAGAAAGCTACAGCTATTCCATGATAGATGGCGCTACAATACACATGGCGCTACACGTACTTATACCTTTTTACCGACAGGTGGCAGATTCTACAAAAGCAAATAAATAGGTAAAATTTATTATGTGTAAGACGTATTTTGTTTTATCTAACATTTTTAAACGAGCAATTCTTGTATATTTATTTATTTATACCGGAGATCTCGGAAACGGCTCTAACGATTTCGCTGAAATTTGGTGTGTGGGAGTTTTCGGGGGCGAAAAATCGATCTAGATGAGTCTTATGTCTGGGAAAACGCGTGTTTTCGATTTTTCATGCGATTTTCTTTCGCATTATTCCACGCAAAATATGGTCTATAATTTCGCATGCTCGGGCACAAGCATCGTAGTCATAGGTGTCCGGTTTCGAAACCCGATTAGATACAAAGTTCTTACTTATGTTTTTTTTTCTATTTATTCAAATTTTAGTTTTTTTTTAAAGAAAATTGTACTAATGACCAAAAACTCCGAGCAAAGCTCGGTTATTATTACTAAATATTTGCGTTTTCATTTTTCTTATCGTAGTAGAATATTCTGTCCATAATAATTATAAAAGACATTTCTATTAAAATATATCCAAACGTTTAAAACTGTTTCGTTGCCTATTTCAAATGAAAATAAGATAAAAATAAAAATATTAAGTTAGCAAGATTTTTTTTTATTAACAGGCTCTTTTTCTATCTATCCTGCGGAATCAGATACTTTTTGACTTAAAATTCTCAAAACTAACTACCATAAGGTATTGATTTTAAGTAGCTTTAAAATTTGCTGTGCTGTATAAGAGACGACTAATTAATACCCAGATAAGAAAAATTAACCAAAAACTAAAATTTCTATACAAACATTGGAATCATTCTATTAATCACAACTCAATTTTACAAAATACCTACTTATTTAATATGGACTCTAACAGCAATAACTTAGTATAACAGTACACAGCAAATAAAATAAATTGCTTAAAAATCTTAGTGTCAATTCTACTTTACTAGTAAATCTGTTAAGTCTTATGGAGATAGAAATAAAGAAATATGTATGTCAATTATAAATGTCACACCTAAAAGTTGAGATGAACCTTAATTATGATTAAGGATGGTATGCCATCGTGCTATCTGTAGCCATACTAAAATCCACGAATTCAATTGAATTATTTTCTTCATACTATGTGTTCCGTTTCATGCAATGCTTAAACCAATTGTACTGAGTTATGCATAAAAAAGTTATAAAATATTGTCTCTATTTTCTGTCGTCTGTCTGTTATAAATCTTATAAAATCGATACATAAATTCTTTATAGATTAAGATTAGCAATCCAGAAATGTAAAGTTGAACATTGTTTCATCGAGCACTCAATCATTCGCATGAGCTGCTCTTCAGCTCATTTGCACAGACAACTCGCGCGGAAAATTATTTCTTTTCATATTCCCATTTTTCACGTCTTACTTAAAGTTTCCAATGATTGGGGAGTTTACAATTCCTCTGTTTATTTTTGACTTTTTCCTGTAAAGAATTTTGTTCCCGAATTGTTTGTTTTCCCTAATTACTTAGGTGCTGTCTAAATTAAGAGTTTCTCATTTTAGTAAAATAATTTAAAAAATAGGCAGTAATAAAGCCTGTGGGCTGGAAAAAGATTTTTAATTCGTTACTTTGTGATAAAACAAAAACATGTTTATGCGATATTTATTATTTACTTGCTGACTCTACAGACGTTGCTCTGTCTTTCAATAAAGTTTGTGATGTGATTCGATGTTAACGGTCGTGATGTGATGCGAGTTCAAACAAAAATCCTCTAGAAAAAAGCATTTTCCGCTTTTTCCCGTTTTTTCCAGTTTTCGAGACAACTTTTCCATTTTTATTTCTCTAAAAAACCGTATTCAAACTATTACAAACGAAAAAAAAATCCAAATCAGTCCAGCTATTCTCAAGTAATACGCTAACAAACGAACTGCATTTCATTTTTATTCTAAATCAGATTCTATGCTACCTAAGCTTAGAATCTAATTTTGATTATGTAGAACTAAAACATGCTTTCATACAGACAATGTTTCTATATGAATAACAATAAAAAAGTTAACTGATATTATTATTGTTAACTCTGGCGGAACTTTTATTAAGAAAGTACCAGGGCGACAGAAACAGACATGAGGTATGGAAATTACGTCTCCCCGCGGCGACTTGCTTTCACGGTCCACTGGCTTGATCATAATAAAAACTCGCGCCGTCGCCTTCGCACGAAGTTTGACCATAAATTCGGTGGTCTTAGTAATCGTCCGCTTGCCGAAGGCGAAATTCTCTCCCGACCCTAGATCTGCTTTTAATATAATAATAAATATCACAAAAACACTACTTTTTCTGTAAAGTTCTTTTCTCTTTTGTTTCCCCCAGGGCGGGCCAAGACCATTAAAAAGGTTAGGGCGGGCGGTATTTTATGCGTTTTTAAGTGTGTAACAGTCATAATAGCCGTTGTATGGTATCGTAAATTAGCCGTTATACATTTTTATGTATGGATTCCAATAAATCTATTGTAAATAGAACAAGTTTAAATAAATATTTAGTGAGTATTATTTAGCTGTGTAACTTTTGCTTTATTATAAGACTAGCGGCTTGCCCTCGCTTCGCTCGGGTTCTCTTCTAGAAAAGCACAAATAGATTTATCCAACGGGAACCGTTCACTTTTCTGGGATAAAATGTAACCTGTTGTTTGACCGGCATTATAAGGTATCAGTATGGCAAATTTTACTAAATTAGGTAAGGCTAGAACTCTTTAATTTTCCGGGATGAAAAGTATTTAAAATATTGACCGGGGTTGTATAAGGTACTACCATGCAAAATTTCATTTAAATCGGTCAAACATTTTCGGAGATTAGCCTGTACTAACAGACAAACAGAGAAACAAAAAATTTAAAAAAATCTGGACTTGTTCTATTTCTCTACTTACACCTGACTCGGTTTTTAACATTTTTTTTCTTTTTACAGACATTCGACCTCTTCAGTTTTATTATATGTATAGATTATTAGAATTAAAATAATGAAAATTATTTGTATTTTCTTTCAGAATTTTCTGATATTTTATAACTA